TTTAATTCATTCATATTCCTCTCTAAGGTATCCATTCTTGTTATCATTTCCTCGAATCTTTTTTCAAATCTTTTTTCAAGGTTCTTAGTTTCTTTGCATTGATTTAATACATGATCTTTTAGCTCACAAAAGTTTCTCATTATCCATCTTCTGAAAATTCCGTCATTTCATCACAGTCATTCTCCGTCCAGCTTTGTTCCCTTGCTGGTGAGGAGTTTTGGTCCTTTCTAGGAGGCGATGTGTTCTGGTTTCGGGTGTTTTCCTCCTTTTTGCGCTGGTTTCTTCCCATCTTTGTGGATTTGTCCGCTGGTCGTCTGCGTAGTTGCTGACTTTTCGTTTGGGTCTCTGAGTGGACACCCAGAATGTTGATGATGAAGTATTTCTGTTGCTTGGTTTTCCTTCTACCAGTCTAGCCCCTTCGCTGTACGACTGTTGAGGTCCGCTCCAGACCCTGCTTGTCTGGGGTGCACCTCTAGTAGCCGTGGCACAGCGAGGGATGCTACCAGTTTCTTTTTCTGCTCTCTTTGTCCCAGGATGATGCCTGCCTAATGACAGTCTTTTGGATATAGAGGGGTCAGGGAGCTGCTTGAGGAGACAGTTTGTACTTTATAGGGGTTTAATTGCTGAGCTGTGCACTCTGTTGTTCATTCAGGGCTGTTAGGCTGCTATGTTTGATTCTGCTGCAACACAGCTCATTAAACAACCCTTTTTTTTTCTCAAATGCTCTGTGTTGAGGGGTTTGGGCTTTATTTTTGGATGTCCGATCAGGTGTCCTGCCCAGCTCGAAGGCAGACTTGCCACTGTTTGGCTGCCGAGGCTCCGCCCTGCCGTTGTGTGATTCGCGCTGTTCCTGCCGGCTCTGCTGTGGTCTCCGCCACGCCCTGCGGCGGAGTCTCTTCGTTGTAGCGTGTTGCCTCAGCAACGGCAGGCTGCGTCAGCAGTGGGCGTGTATCTCAGTAGGGACGGGTTGCCTCGGCAACGGCTGGCTGCGTCAGCAGTGGGCGTGTATCTCAGTAGGGACGGGTTGCCTCGGCAACGGCTGGCTGCCTCAGCAGTGGGCGTGTATATCAGTTGGGGCAGGTTGCCTCCATAGTGGTGGACGCCCCTCCCCCACAGAGCGTCTCGGACCGTCTGCCCAGGATAGTTTGAAATCGCGGTTTTGTTCGTCCCACTGGATATCTCAAGCGATCTGTCCCTGCAATCCCCTGGGCTGGGCCACTGTGCAAGTCTCGTTCAGTCTCAAGTCCAGCCCTCTCAAGTCTCAGGTTGCCGGTTCAACAAGGCACCCGGACAAGTGCGCCCTGTGGGGATTGCTGGGTAGGGCCGGCCGCCGCCGCCCCGGATGCCGGCTTCGCCAGGCAGACCTACTGCCTGGCGTCCCGTGTCTTTTTATACTTGGGAGTTTCCCCGTTCTGTGGGCAACAAAGATCAGTCTGGAAATGCAGCACTGACTCACCGTTTGCGGATTCAACGCGGGCTCCAATCCTGGGTTGTTCTCACAGCGCCATCTTGAGTCCCCTCCCAGCAGAGTGCTTTTATTTGTTGTTTCTCTGTTTGTTTTGGTCCATACTGGTCCAAATTGGTTCTGCTTGTGTAAAATTCTCAATGGATTTACTTCATTAGACAAGAGGTTTTCCACAGGTTTTTCTTAAATAATCCCATTCAAATTTTCAGTTTTTGCTTAGATGGTTGGAAGAACCTGAATCACAGCTTAATCTTTTCAAAAACACTTCTGTGTGACCAAATACATCACCTTTTGACCCTTCCAAGGCAATAGCAATATGTATTCTACACATATTAATACTTACTTGAGGGGCAATTAATATACAATAAAATTAATAATTTTTAAGTGAACAACATAATGGATTTTAACATGTGTATATATCCTTGTAATCATCACCCAGATCAAATAATAGAACATTTTAATTCTCCCCAAATCCCTTTGTGTGTTTTTAGTCAATACCCTCAGTGACTCCCCAGATAAAATGGTTGTTCTGATGTCTATCACTAAAGATTGAGTCGGCCAGTTCTTGAACTTCACATAAATGGAATTACACTGTGTATAATCTTTTGCCTCTGGCTTCTTTGACTCAAAGTATTTTGGACACTTTTATGAGTATCTGTGTATGTGTATGTGTGTTTGAACCCTTTTTCATTGCCAAGCAGTATTTCATTGTCTATATTTTGAAGGTGGAGCTTTTGAAAGCGTTCTAATGCATTGCAATAGGATGTGATAGAAAAAGAAGAATTAAAGATGATGCCAAGATTTTTGACCTGAATAGCTAGAATTCACCATTAATTGAGGTGGAGAAGACTATGAGAGAAACAGCTAGTGGAAAAAAGGGGGAGGTTAAAATATAAGGACATTAATTTTAGACATGTAAATTTTGAGATGTATATTAGATATCCAAATGGAGAGACTGAGTAAGTAGTTAGATGTATGAGTGTGGAGTTTGTCCAGGCTGGGGGCGGTGGCTCACGCCTGTAATCCCAGCACTTTGGGAGGCCGAGGCGGGTGGATCACGAGGTCAAGAGATCGAGACCATTCTGATCAACATAGTGAAACCCCGTCTCTACTAAAAATACAAAAAATAGCTGGGCACGGTGGCATGTGCCTGTAATCCCAGCTACTCAGGAGGCTGAGGCAGGAGAATTGCCTGAACCCAGTAGGCGGAGGTTGCGGTGAGCTGAGATCGCGCCATTGCACTCCAGCCTGGGTGAAAAGAGTGAAACTCCGTCTCAAAAAAAAAAAAAAAAAAAAAGAAGAGGTGTCCAGACTAAATGTGGGCATTGTTAACATTTTGATGGCTTCTAAAGTAATAAAAGTTGAGATGATGGAGCATATATAGAAGTGCAAAGATGGAGCCCTGCAAAACTTTAACGAAATGCTGAGAGACTGGGAAGTTAAGCAGGAGCCAGCAAAACAGACTAAGAAGAAGCAATTGGTAAAGTAGGAGGAAAACCAGTTGTATATGCTATTCTGCAAACTATACTAAAGTTCTATGTAACATTTATGATAATACTAAATATTTATTATTTATTTAATATGAAAATCATTTTTGTAGCTCTTAAAAATATTATGAACACCTTCTGTGATATTTTCCAGGAATGCAAATAGTGAACTGGTGGCTATTACAAAAGTGGTCACAAATTGTACTGCTAATAATTTATGACAGAAGATCTAGTAATCAATATTCTTTTATGATAACTGCTTATTTTGGATTTAAATTTGGTGTTTGGGATTTGTTAGTTCCCAAAACAGAACTTCTCTCATAAGAAAATTGGCCATGTAAGCTTCACAGGAAACAGATTATAAAACTAGAGACCCAAGAAAAATATCTCAAATCCATACAGCATTGAATGAGGGTTTTAAAAAATTCTTGTAATTCCACACAAACCATCAAGTCACATGTATAGACATCCCTCATCTTTTAGAGGAAATAAGAAGTTTCTGTTTAGACATCATCTAAAAATTAGGCTATTACAGGAATAACCTCAAAAGATGCACTGAGTAAGCCAGGGCTAGTCTAATTTTTACACAAATATCCTCTAACCATCAGCTAAGTGACACCACAGTTGTTCTGACTTTCAAGTAGTGATTGTCAATCCTGCTCATATCCTGCACTTGTTTACTGGCTTTAGTTATCTCGTGAGAAAAAATGACTCCTGGAGCTAGACTGCTACCATGAAAACTGTTTTTGATGTGACTATAAGCAAATTGCAACCAAAGACCCTTATATTACTTGTGATATGTTTATGGAACTTCTGATACTAATGATGAGAATACCATTTGCGCTAGTCTGATAGGATAAAACTGGAAATATCCTGTAAGTGGAAAATAACACACCATGTCATACTCTCCATTTTAAACATTTTTCAGATTTCCCTGAGTTATTTAATATAATAGTGCTATGTGACCCCCATGCATTCAGAGAGGAAATTATATAGAAAATGACTCTCAGCAGATTAACTGATGAGTTATTAATGATGGTAGTTTGACCTATTCTATTGGGGGATTTGTCAACTGCATCTCAAATGGCTGATCACATGGTATTGTGGTCTTAGTTACAGTTCCTGGTTGGGTTGGTTGTCAAATGCTTGTTATTTTAAACTGACTTTTGGAGTTTGGTCAAATAGGGCACTAAATTTACTGGAAGAGCTTTCCCTCCTATTTTTGAATATGATTAGGAGCCATCTTTTAATTTATTGAGTAGAGTGAAGTTGTGACAAAATAAAGATCTGAACAGTAAACTAGGCAGCATCAAATTCAGGTATGATTTAAGGTATCTTATTGTTTTGTATATTTTTCCCTTAGTATTCTGTGTGTGTGTGTGTGTGTGTGTGTGTGTGTGTGTGTGTTTCCTGATAAGTAGCTCTACAGATGTGGACAGGTGCTTTCTTTCCTGCAAATTTTAAATATGAAATAAAGAATTAACTATATATATATATAAAGCAATATATATATATAAAACAATATATATATATAAAACAATATATATATATATAATTCTGGAGATGTGAGAAATCAAGATGTATCAGAAAAAACCCACTATGAGTGCTGATTAGATTAACTGGTGTTAAAGTGTAGGTTTTGAATTTTTATAATAAGATTCCTGGCCCAATGTGGAGAGTCAAAAATATTTATTGAATTTAATTGGATAATTAAATTGGGCTGACCTAAAAATCTTAACATCATTAATTAATCTATTTTTGCTAGTTTGTTTATTAATTAGTTAATCTATACATTTGTTTTATAGTTAATGCCTGCTATCAATAGAGTGTGCTACATGTTCTAGGAAATATAAATACTATAATCTGGAGACTTGTTTAAAAGGTTTTGTAATTTCAAGTGGGAGATGACCTATATGCAAAGAACCAGGAAATATAGTAGAAAATTATAACAATGGGAAAATATATGCTGAGTTCCAACTTAACAGTTTAAAGACTTTTGGAACCCAAAACTGTAAGCTCAGGTCTCCTGTGAACATTTATTTATTTTTGCTTATTTACCAATTATAAGACTTTTGATAGTGATGTAATAGGAATTTTTATTTAATGAGATAACTTATTTTTAAATTTCACTCCTATGATACAGAGGCTATGGTTTCCGTTGTGAGATCGACATGAAATTGAGTGAAATTGACAATGAACTCCTTAAGAGGTTGGTCAGTGTTGTCGATTGTTTTGCAGTAAGTGAGGGTCTCTGAATTAGCTCTCTTTACTTTCTCCTATAGGTAATTTATATTTTAAAACATTTTAATGTTGAACATTTAAAGCATGGTAATATGGTTTTTTTTTTTTTGAGACGGAGTTTCGCTCTTGTTACCCAGGCTGGAGTACAATGGCACGATCTTGGCTCACTGCAACCTCCGCCTCCTGGGTTCGGGCAATTCTCCTGCCTCAGCCTCCCGAGTAGCTGGGATTACAGGCATGCGCCACCATGCCCAGCTAATTTTTTGTATTTTTAGTAGAGACAGGGTTTCACCATGTCGACCCGGATGGTCTCGATCTGTTGACCTTGTGATCCACCCGCCAGGCCTCCCAAAGTGCTGGGATTACAGGCTTGAGCCACCGCGCCTGACCCGGTAATATGATTTTATTGTTTTTTATTTCAGAATTTTTAAAAATCTTATGCTATAAATGTAACACTTTTCAAAATTAAGATGTACAACTAAACAGGTGGTTGTTACTGTGATTCTAACTGCCTTTGCAGAATGTTCCTAAGCTTTTGATATAACAGAATCATAAAAGCAATAACAAGTTCATATTTTATTGTAAAACATCCAATTTTGCTACAAAATATAAAAAGGACCTTATAATAAATACAGCATATGCATATTTCTATTAATGTTCAACCTTCATTGTATTAAACTTTTACAATCTGTTATTTGGATGATTTATTTCTATCAACCAGCATTACTAATATTCTCTTCCCTCTTCTGAATTTTCTCCTATTTTTTTTTTTTACTTAAGAGAAGCTTATACATTGAAACCATAGTCTCATGTTTTTCTCCTTATTTAGTCTATTATGTAAATTAGAACTCAGTGACCTGTTAATCTTAGGTTTGACATTTACAAAAAACAAAGGTGATAGTCAAAACATTTAATAATTGGGAATTTGTGATCGCCAGCCAACCTGTTCTCAAGTCCTTCTCCTAGTTACATGTTAGCCTTTCAGTTGCTGCATCATGGAGTGGGCTGTGGGCTCCAGGGGAGAAGCCAGAGAAGTGGTCCTTAGGGGACTGGCAGTAACTATTTACCAGCTTGTAAGGAAGGATCTTAACATCTCATAAGAATGTATCATGGTATAGCCACTGAATATAGTCCTGTCTACAAATCGAATTTCTCTTTCCTTATCTGTACAATGAGTAAGAAATGTCATTATAAGCTCTGCCTGGCTCATGGAGTTTTTGAGAGACTCACAGAAAAAGTTTGTGAAACAATAATATGATAACTTTGTTAGGCATTGTTGTAAATTTTGTCATGATCATATCATATAATTCTCACAAAAGTTTTTTTTTTTTTTTTTTGAGATGGAGTCTTGCTCTGTTGCCCAGGCTGGAGTGCAGTGCAGTGGTGCGATCTCAGCTTGCTGCAACCTCTGCCTCCTGGGTTCAGGTGATTCTCCTGCCTCAGCCTCCCAAGTAGCTGGGACTACAGGTGCGTACTACTACGCCCAGCTAATTTTTTGTATTTTTAGTAGAGATGGGGTTTTACCACATTAGTGAGGATGGTCTCGATCTCCTGACCTCATGATTCGCCCACCTCAGCCTCCCAAAATGTTGGGATTATGGTTGCGAGCTACCATGCCTGACCTCTCATGAAACCTTTTAAGGTGAGTATTATTATTCCCATATAACAATCCTATAAACCAACATTTAATACACTGCACATTTTACTGAAGGAGAAAGTGAACTCAGTGAGATTCAATAATTTGCCTACAGTTGCTTAGTTCGTTCATTCTTAAGTAGAGATAGAATTAAAACACTAATCTTTCCTTAATAGATGAATGTGAAAACTTAATATAGAATAGTAAAAACCAGCTACATTTGTCACCTCATATGCAGTGGTACAGAACTTATGTATCTATAGTTCAAACCATAAATTATTTTAATCCCTTGACAGATGGCTACTAATAATACTTTTACAGTCTATTCCCTGGGCCAAAATTTGGCAAAGAGAAACGAGAAAACTCGGGAGGTAAAAGTACAATTAAAACTATTTTAAGTTGGGAAAATATGTTCAGACTTTTAGTTTAGTTTGGAGCTTAGTATTGCATTGGCAAGAAATTCTGTCTCACAAAATGAGGTTTTCAATTTCTTTATTAATAAACACACCATTAAACATTGTATTGCCTCAGTGGTAGATATGGTAAAAATGTTCAAACATCATACTTAATGGAGAAACCTTAGAAGTTGTCCCCTTAATGTCAGTAACAAAAAAGAATGCCTGTTATGATACCTTCTGTTCTACAAAGGACTAGATGTCCTGGCCAATAAAATGTGAGAGGTAAAAGAAATAAGAGACAAAGCTATAAGGAAGGAGACAAAACTGTCAGAATATGTAGATGATTTAATTATATAGAAAACTCAAGAGAATCAACAGACAAATGATTAAAGCTAAAAAGAGAGTTTATTATGCTTGCTGAGCACAAATCAGTAAGTAATAATCAATAGAATTATTTTATACCAACAGCCAATTAGAAAATATAATAAACCATAAGATACTGTTTACAATAGCAAATATATCTATCTATCTATATATATGATCATAATTGTTTACAATAGCAATTGTTACAATAGCATATATATATCTCTTAATAATGCTTTAAAATGTCTTCCAAAATAATTTTCTCATTTTAGGTCAGTTTCTAGAAACATACATACATATATATATGTATATATATATGCTATTGTATGTATATATGTATATATATGCTATTTAAAAGAACATATATGTATATATATATATATATATATATATGTATGTATCTAGAAACTGACCTAAAATGATAAAATTATTTTGGAAGACATTTTAAAGCATTATTAAGAGATATATAAAAAGACCTGATTAGGTAGAAATACCACACTGTGGAAGGAAGATTTAACATAAAGATATAAATTCTTTCTAAATTAAAACATACATTTAATGCAACTAAAATAAAAAATCCAATGGAGGTGAATTGGTTACACACAAATCCACAAATAGCTAAAACAGTTCATAAAAAGAAGAGCAAAGTGGGGAAACATTTTATCAAATATTAAGATATATTACTAAGCTCTAGTAATAGAGAAAATAGAGGCCCTAAATTCATACCACATACCAAAATGAGCCCCCATTGTAATGAAGATTTAAAAATAAAAGACAAAGCTATAAAGCTAAGATAAAAAATGTTAGAGAATGTCTTCGTAATAATAGAGTGGGAAAGCATTTCTTAAACGAGGTAAAGCCCAGAGCATACAGAAAAAAAATTGATGACAATGACATAAAGAATGAGGATTTCTGTTTTGTGTAGGACACTATAGAGAGACTGGGAGAAAATATTTAGGATGTCAACAATTAATAAAAGATTGAAATATAAAAAAATTCCACAAACTCATAATTAAAATACCCAGGCAATCACATAGAAGAAAGAGACAATTCGAAGAAGGAGAAAACTAAAATGACTAAAAGGCTCAACTCAGACACTTGAAAAGAAGCTCAACTCAGATTATTGCAAACAAAAACTTTACACATAATAATGGGAACAATTAAAAAGTTGGATAATATCAAGTATTGTCAAATCTATGGGAATCGGCAACTCTTCATCTACTGGATGGAGTATAAACTGGTGCATCCATTCTGGAGACCAGTTTGGGAGTATGTGGAGGAAACTGTATATGCGCAAATGCATGGATCCAGCAGTTCTATGGCTGGGCATATCCTCTAGAGAGAGTATTGCACTGGGGAACAAGAAGACATGGATGAGAATAAACCTTTTGGTATTGTTTCTGATAGAATTTTCTAAACTTATTGAATATTAACTTTCTTTACTGTTATAACATCTAATTGGGATGATATTCTGTGACATACATGTTGGGAAACAGTGATTTAAAGAACAGTTTTTAAATTTAAGGACATGGCTAGGAAGGATGCCAATGAATCCAAGGGACTTCCTGCATCACTATCAAACAAGAGAAGCTTATTGGTGTAATATGACCTATTTAGTATGAAATATTGCACTCAATAAAAATATTCAAGACCTGTGCTGCGTTTTAACTATGAAAACGTACCTAATAAATTGAGACTTAAAAAATAGAAATGGGCTGGACTCGGCAGCTCAGGCCTGTAATCCAGCACTTTGGGAGGCTGAGACAGATGAATTACAAGGTCAAGAGATCAAGACCATCCTGGCCAACATGGTGAAACCCTGTGTCTACTAAAAATGCAAAAATTAGCTGGGTGTGATGGTGAGTGCCTGTAGTCCTAGCTACTCAAGAGGCTGAGGCAGGAGAATCGCTTGAACCTGTGGGGTGGAGGTTGAAGTGAGCCAAGATCTTGCCACTGTACTCCAGCCTGGCAACAGAGCAAGACTCTGTCTCAAAAAAAAAAAAAAAAAAAAAAAAGAAATGGATTGTTCGTGAACCCATTTTTATATACATTTTTAACATTGTGTTAAGCAGGATCTTGGTTGATATACCTATATAAATCAAGATTATGGCTGGGCATGGTGGTGCATGCCTGTAGTTCCAGCTATCTGGGAGGCTGAGGCAGGAGGATCACTTAAGGACAGGAGTTTGAGACCAGCCTGGGCAACATGGTGAGATCCTGTATTAAAAAAAAAAAAAAAAAAAGATGATGCACCAAGTACATATTGGTGGTATTTCTGCAAATAAGATTCTCCGTGATGTTTACTTTTTTCCTTATACTTCTCTGTATCATACAATTATTTTATAACTAGTATTTACTAAGTTTTAATCAGAAACATAATAAAATGATTTTCCTTTTGAAAATTAGTTGAATATGAAGTTATCAATGTCAAGAATGAAATAGTAACTATTTTCATATTCCATATAAGTTGAAAAATGCATTACATGTTTCATTCCTTCTCTCATTTTTGAAGTTTTGTTGAAAGAACATGGGGTTTTAGTTCTGAAATATTGTTAACACATTTTGCTAGAATCCTATATTATATATTTTAAGATCTAATTTTTACATTTGAACAGTTTTATTGTAAAATTAATTAAAATTAAGTTTTATTGTAAAATCAATTAAAATTAGGCAATACATTGTTTTACCACATTAATTGCCATTTTGGGATCTATTTCCAGTGTCTTAAACACCAATTTGTATTCTCTTTAATAGTTTTTTGAATTGACTGGACTCATTTGGGTGGGTCTCACTTGAAATATCTCAGGTGTTTACAGTCAGATGGAGGCTGAGGCTGGAGTCATGGAAGGCTCCACTGGGCTAGATGTCTGAGGTGCTCCATGCTCCTCTATGTGTCCTCTTCCTCCAGCAGAACCACCTGTTCTTTTTAAACACAACTCACAGTTTCAATAGAAGCAAAACAGAAGCTGCCTGGCCAATTAAGGGGTATGCCCAATCTGAGCATAGTTTTATGTTTGTAGGGTGGCATTGGTCAAAGCAGTCACAACTTCAACCCAGATTCAAGAGGACAAAGTAGACTTCTCATAGAGGACTAGCAAGACCACATGACTGAAGAGCTTGTGGAAGGGGAGGTAATGTTGCAGCTACATTTGGAAACCTGTCACAGTTGTTCACTCATTTTTTTTGTTATGCTTTTTCTATCTGTTGGTTCAAATCTCAGTTGGCTATCCTACCCCAAATCAGAATGGTACTGGTATAAAAATAGGCACATAGATCAATGGAACAGAATAGAGAACTCAGAAATAAAGCCATCCACTTACAACCAACTGACCTTCAACAAAGTCAACAAAATATGCAACAGGGAAAGGACACCCTATTCAATAAGCAGTGCTTGGAAAATTGAATAGTTATATGGAGAAGAATGAAACTAGACCCCCATCTCTTACCATATACATAAATTAACTCAAGATCAATCAAAGATATAAATATAAGACCTGAAACTATAAACACTTTGATTGAAGCTTTTCTTATAGTCATTGTTTTACAGAAGTAACATATTTCCCGAATCTTTAGCAGATCTTTTTGCCTTTAAATGTGAGTGATAATTTGAATGAACACAGAATCCCTGGATCACAATCTTTGTTTCTAAAAGCATTTAGAGTTATAGAGGAGACCCCTGGTTCTGGATATTTTTCTCTTTGCATATTATATTCCCTCTTCCCATCATACCCACCCTATTTTCTCTTCTATTTTAGATATATGTATGTAGTTTTCTTATCCTAAAGCCTTCAAATTCAACAATTTCATCAATAAATGTCTAGGTTTGTGTTTTCTTTCTACATGAATTTGGCCTGGTACTGATTTGGTTGGGCTGAAAAAATAAGACTTCTCAGCTAAAAGGAAAAGCTATTCCATAATTTCTAGTGATTATTGCTTGAGCTTTATATGCTCTATTTCTATATTGAGCTCCTATTGTAATTTACTTACAGCAATTCTACTACTGTAATTTACTTACAGTAGAAGCTCAATATAGAAATAGAGCATATAAAGCTCTATTTAATAAATAGCTCTTTTTTTTTGCATTTTTCAGCAAGTACACTGATTAAATTTTTTATATTAACCTAGTATGAAATTCTATATTAACCTATATTTCTATAAAGCTCTATTTAATAAATAGCTCCTGTTTTTAATAAATAGCTCTTCTTTTTTGCATTTTTCAACAAGTGCACTGATTAAATTTTCTATATTAACCTAGCATAAAATTTGATGTCTCTGTAGTAATAAAGATTTCGATATAAAATAATATTTATGGTACTTTAGATTATTCTTTTATAGTTTCAGTATATTTTCAATTCTTGCTAAGAATACAGATAAAAGATTCTGTAATCACTTTTTCCATTTCTTTAAGTAAGTCTGTTTGAAGGGAAATTTTTATCTATACTTCAGATTGATCCCTATCTTTTCATAATCTTTTCATAAATTCAATGACTTGGTCTGTGAATTTTCACACTGAGGATACAGAGGTTGATGTCTGTCTGGCATTTGGAATGATCAATTTTACAGATTATATGGGTAGTCATTCAAATCTTTCAGATCCACACAACAGAAAAATAAAACATTTGTTTGTTATCCTTGCCAGTTCAAAGGCTAGTGGGCTGAGGAAAGTAGGTGTGGCTCTTTCTTTCCTTCAGATCTTGGCTCAAGTGCTTTTTCAAGAGGCTTTCCTTGACCTTTGTATCTAAACTGACCTGCCCTATCTTTTCTCTATTTTAAGGGTTGGCAAATGATGGCCCACAGGCCTAAATCTGGTTCATTGCCTGTTTTTTCTTCCTCTTTTTTTTTTTTTTTTATAAAGTGTTATTGAATCACAGCCACCCCCATTCATTTATGTGGGGCCTCTAGTTGCTTTTTTTGTGTTAGAACAGCAGAGTTGAGTAGTTGCAATAGAGGCCATATAGCCCACAAAACCTGAACTATTTTCTATGTACCCTTTTGCAGGAAAAAAATTGCTGACCTCTGCTCTGTCTCATCATCCCATTTGTTTCCTTAATGCCACATATCACATTTTGTAATTATCTGATGTATTTCTTTGGTTATTTCTTATTACAACCTCACAAAGATCGAAGCTTCATGAAGTCTGGTACTTAATCTATCTGGTTCACTACTGTATCCCTAGTACCGAGCACAGTGTCTGGAATAAGGTAGACATTTAATAAATGTTTGCTGAATAAACAAATGAATTAAATAAATGTTAAAATGTTGCATTATTCTATTCATTTCAATGGGAATCTGGGAGCAGGAGGGGGTTATTAAATGTATTTTGGTTCAGTTAACATTTTAATTAATTAGTTAATTGTGGTAAGAACACTTAGCATGATATCTACTCTCTTAACAAAGTTTTAAGTGTGTAATGCAGTGTTAGCCATAGGTGTCATGTTGTACAGCAGACTGCTGGAACTTATTCATCTCTCATAACTAAAACTTTATTCCCATGAACAGCAATTCCCTGATTCTTCCTCCTCCTTCTAGTCCCAGGTACCCACAATTCTATTCTCTGTTTCTATGAGTTTGACTATTTTAGAACCCTCATATATATGGAATCCTGCAGTACTTGTTCTTATGTGACTGGCTTATTTCACTTCAGTTAATATGTTATATTGGAAGAGGGTAACAAGAATATTTAGGGTATGAGCCAAAACAGAAATATAGAATGGAAAGGTGAGGTGAAATTGCCTGAGAGATAGGAGGAAATCAGTAGAGTGGTGTCCGAAAACCAAGGGCAGAAGGATTTCAAGGTCAGGGTGGGAGGAATTTTGTCAAATGTTGTAGAGAGATAACAAATGTTGAAAGTCCTGAAAAATCCCCTGGATTTAGCAATAATGAGACTATTGTGACATTAGTAAGGGCTCTTTCAGTGGGGTGGTCGGGGCTGTGTTGGTTTCCTAGAGATATCATAACAAAGTACTACAACTTTAGTGGCTTAAAACAACACAAAGTTATTCTCTCACAGTTCTGGAGGCCAGAAGTCCAGAACCGAGGTTTCAGAAGGACCATGCTCTCTGCTTTAGGGTAGGTGCCCCCCTTGCATCTCTCCTTACTTCTGGTGTCTGCTAACAATCTCTGATGTTTCTTGTCTTACAAATGCATCACTGCAATCTCTGCCTCCATTGTCATATAGCATTCTCTGTATGTATATCTGTGTCCCTTTTCTGTGTCACATGGCCTTCTTTTAAGGACAAAAGACATTGGATTTAGGACTTATTGTTATCCAGTATAGCCTCATCTTAACATGATTACATTGGCAAAGACACTATTTCCAAATAAGGTCACATTCACAAGTATGCGGGGTTAGGACTTCAACATATCTTTTTTTGTGGGGACACAGTTCAACCCACAACAGACACATAAGTCAGATTTCTATCGGCTTAGGAGCAAATGCAGCAAGGAGGTGAAGACAGTGAGAGCAAAGTCTTCATAAAACCTGGTGGAAAGGGGAAAGAAGAGAGCAGTAGCTGGAGACATAGGATTTAGAAAGATGTTTGAACAGATTAAAGAAAGACCCAATAGAGAGGTGGAATTAGAAGATGGGGGGAAGAGAAAATGTGAATAGAAAGAAGAGCATGAAAAGGCAGGAGAGGATTGTGGTAGAGACTGTTGCTTGTTCACTAATGATCATTATTCCACTCACCACTTCTCCTAATATTTAGCTGGGCATATCATTTTCTATGATACAGAATGCTTTATTTTGCCTTCCCTGCAGCTAGCTGGGCCTTGTGATTAGATTCTAGCCATTAGGAGGAACATAGATGCATTGTGTGTGGACTGGAATGCACACATGTTGGCTGTAACTTCAGTAGTAATCTTAAATCATGAAGTAGAAGCCATATGTGAGTTAGTGGAGACCCAGGTCAGAAGAAGCCATAGTTCTAATCACTGTGTAGCCATCATGTTATCCCTGATTTAATTATATACTATCCAAATTTTTGCAAAAAAGAAACCACTACCATTTTGTGTTTTCTTTCACTTGTAGTTTTACTTAATTGTGACTGAAACATAGGTAGATGTTAGGACATAGGACATGGTGGGGAATTTAGGTTCAATTTAGGTGGAAGATAACCTAATTCAGCAAGGCAGGAGGGAAAAATGAAATAATGGTTGCAGCTACAGATGTACTAATCAGTAGATAGTGGGAAGTTTAGAGAGTTGTTTTAAGGCATTGATTTTTAAAAGTAGGGTTAGTCATTGAGAATAACAGAAGTGGTTTTACTGGATCATGTTTGAGATGAATCATGAAGATTTAACAAAAAGATATTGTGAGGCATGAAAGAAAGTGAGCTGAAAATTAAGGGTTTGGGTTTGGCATTTTGGTTAGAGACAACACAATTATAGTGGTCAAGTGAATACATCCTGTGGTGCTCTGTGTTCTCAGTTGCTAAAGGCATCCAAGAATCCATTATTAGACTTTTGCATTGTTGAAATAAGGAAGAAAAAAGGGAGTTTTGCAGCAATGCTTTAGCCATATTTTATTAGAGCTTTCCTGTGTGATAGATGGGCTATGTGAATGCGCCAACATGCTGTAACACAGACCTTACTCCCACTGTAAAAGAAGCCAGTTTGGAAAGTTTGATCCTTGAAGACAGCTCTGAAACACAATGGCTGTGTATGGGAGGTTGGTGGGTACCATTTCTGAACATGTTGAGAAATCAGAAAGTTCCCTAACATTTCAGAGGTTACACCGTAATTACCAACTCTAAGACAAAGGGCAATAATTTTAATTGGGCAGCTAACTCTCTACTGTTCATGTTTGAATCTGCCTAGTGGTGTTAGGGCTGTTATGCAATAGCACACATAGAGAGTGCCACAACCTCTATTTCAAACTTTTTTTAAACTTAAATAAGCCTTTAGTAGTCTAATATTTTGTTTTTATTTTATTACTTTGGTGAAAAAATTATATAATTCAGAGATAAAATGAAACATATGAACAAACAGTGTCATAATCATAATGAAATTTGTGTCACTGGTTTAATACTTGGCAGTCATCAAGATACATCCAGAATATATGTTATGTAATTTAATCTATAAACAGGGATGTAAGGTAGGTTAATTATACCTACATAATTCACAACTGACAGCATTGAGGCTCAGAGAGGTTAATGATTTTTGCAGAATATATAACAAGCAAACATTGGAATTTTAATTTTGACTCCAGGGTCCAGCGAGTGCATTATGCTGTGTCATCTTCAAATGATGATTACTCGCAATAAGTAATTCGTCTGGACAGCTCCACTGTGAAGTAGGCAAGGTTTTTATTTTCCATGTAGGTTCTCCAAGTGTCTGAGACATTTTCAAATTATTATTTCAAACTTCAATTTGTGGTTTGTGATTGTTAGTTCAAGGCAACATATCCACCTAGAATGGAACTTCTCTTCTCTTGCATTTGCTCAGTTATCTAACGTTTATAAATCTTAAACTCTTGAAGATTGTATTTGGAGGCACTGTTGAATGAATAAAATATATCACATTCCTGTTGGCCTCTAGAGGTCACAAATGCAACAGAATCTTGCTCTCTTCAAGAGTGTTTTAGACAGGCCACAAATCATAATGGTTTTGATGGATATGTGTGGTCACCATAATTCTTATAATTATAATGATTACATTACAAGAATAAAGTTGCTTATGAATATGTCCAGAACATTATTTCCTAAACCAGAATTTTCAGAGTATTCATAGCCTTGGAAAACAGGAAAAGGCAGTATAAAGATGTTTTTCTAATCTGTGGAAACTATTCTTTAAGAATGTCGAAAGTGATGCCATATTATTCTGAGAAGCCAAGTCAGGATTATTTGCTGTTGCATTTCAAAGCTGGTTAATCAGTGTACCAATTATAAATTTAAAAATACTTATTTTATAAATTTAGCCAGTAAAAAATCTTTAACAAGCATTGTGCTATGTTTTTGAGAATAAAAATAAGTGAAAAAATATTGTTAGGTTATCTATGTGAAATAGTTAAAACTTAAATTGGTTAAAATACTATGAAGATATTTTAAGAAGTAGTAAATTTGTGGTTAGCAGAACTTTGATATTTAAAAAATATTTAGAGCTATGACATTTTCTTAAAAGAAATCCCTACCACTTATTGGTCATTTATAACCTACCAGGCATCATCCTAAGCACTCTCTAAACATATTATCCCATTTATTTTCACAACAATTCTATGCAGATTTTTTGAAAGTTTGTGCTTTTAATTTCTTAGTAATATTTCTAAATCTTTCTGATATATATATATCAGATTTCTATTTATTTCAATTTCTCTCTATATATATTCATATCATTTTTTCTCTATATAGGCACTTCAGTATTTTTCATTTAAATTTTTTTCCCCACTAAAAACGTTTTTGTGTTAAAAACAAAGACACGCATACACTAGCCAAGGACTACACAAGGTCTGGATAATCAATATTGCTGTCTTCCACCTTCACATCTTGTCCCACTGGAAGATCTTCAGAGACAATAATGGGCATGGAGCTGTCATCTCCTAGGATAACATATGCCTTCTTCTGAAATGCCTCCTGAAGAACCCACCTAAGGCTGTTTAAATTGGTAACTTTAAAAAATATATATGGCCAGGCACGGTGGCTCATGCTTGTAATCCCAGCACTTTGGGAAGCTGAGGCAGGTGGATCCCAAGGTCAGGAGATCGAGACCAGCCTGACTAACATGATGAAACCCCGTCTCTGCTAAAAATACAAAAAGTTAACTGGGCTTGGTGGTATGAGCATGTACTCCCAGCTACTCAGGAGGCTGAGGCAGCAGAATCACTCGAACCCAGGAGGTGGAGGTTGCAGTGAGCCGAGATCATGCCACTGCACTCTAGCCTGGGCAACAGAGTGAGACTCCAGCTCAAAAAAAAAAAAAAAAATATATATATATATATTTATATATATATATTTATATATATATATTCTACATATATTTATATATATATTCTACATATATATATTTATATATATATTCTACATATATATTTATATATATTCTACATATATATATTTATATATATATTCTACATATATATTTATATATATATTCTACATATATATTTATATATATTCTACATATATATATTTATATATATATTCTACATATATATGTAGAAGGTGTGCTCTCTAAAATAATAGTGAGTATAACGTATTAAATACATAAACCAATAATATAATTATTTATCATTTTTAAATATGTACAGTACTTAATACTATGTGTTACACTTTTATACAACTGACAGAGTAGTAGGTTTGTTTACAACAGCATCACCACAAATACATGGGTAATGTATTATGCTACAACATTATAACAGCTATGATGTCATCAGGCAATTGTAATTTTTCAGCTCTATTATAATCTTACGGTAATCTTATGGGACCACCATCATATATGCAGTTCGTCATTGACTGAAATGTCATTATATGGTCCATGACTGTATTTAAAATGAAAATATATGTCAATCAAATATGTTCACAATCATGTTCAAGTAAGAAACACTTCAAAGAATCACAGGTCTTTTTTTCATATGTTTGTTGGCCGCATAAATGTTTTCTTTTGAAAAGTATCTGTTCATGTCCTTCACCCACTTTTTGATGAGATTTTTTTTCTTATAAATATGTTTAAGCTCCTTATAGATTCTGGATATTAGCCCTTTGTCAGATGGATAGATTGCAAAATGTTTCTCCCATTCTGTAGGTTGTCTGTTCATGCTGATGATAGTTTCTTTTGCTGTGCAGAAGCTCTTTAGTTTAATTAGATCCCTTTTGTCAATTTTGGCTTTTGTTGCCATTGCTATTGGTGTTTTAGTCATTAAGCCTTTCCCCATGCCTATGTCCTAAATGGTATTGCCTGGGTTTTCTTCTAGGGTTTTTATGGTTTTAGATGTTAAGTTTAAGTTTTTATCAAAACCACAATGAGATACCATTTCACACCAGTTAGAATGGCAATCATTAAAAAGCCAGGAAACAACAGATAGGGAGACAATGTGGAGAAGTAGGAACACTTTTACACTGTTGGTGGGAGTGTAAATTAGGTCAACCATTGTGGAAGACAGTGTGGCGATTCCTCAAAAATCTAGAACTAGAAATACCATTTGACCCAGCAATCTCATTACTGGGTATATACCCAAAGGAGTATACATGATTCTACTATAAAGACACATGCACACATGTGTTTACTGAAGCACTATTCACAATAGCAAAGACTTGGAACTAACCCAAATGTCTATCAATGATAGACTGGATAAAGAAAATGTGGCACATGAATACCATAGAGTACTATGCAGACATAAAAAGAATGAGTTCATGTCCTTTGTAGGGAATCTGGATGAATCTGGAAACCATCATTCTCAGCAAACTGACACGGGAACAGAAAACCAACCACCACATGTTCTCAGTCATAGTAGGAGTTGAACAATGAGAACATATGGGCACAAGGAGGGGAACATCACACACTGGGGCCTGTCAGGGGGTGGGGGGCAAGGGGAGGAATAGCATTAGGAGAAATACCTAATGTAGATGACAGGTTGATGGGTGCAGCAAACCACCATGGCATGTGTATACCTATGTAACAAACCTGCACATTCTGCATGTGTATCCACAACTTAAAGTATAATAAAAGAAAAGAAAAGGAAAGAAAAGAACTCTAGGTCAACACAGGTAGTTAATAAAATGTGTATAGCTATTGTTGCTTATATTCTTATCTTATTTTTTTCTGAATTTGTCTTGGCTAGATATTACTTCATAAAGCCACTTCACAATATATTGCCAACCAGGAAACAATGCTAAAAATTACTCATGGTCATTTCTATAGAATGAAAGAAAGTTAAGATTTGATGAGATGTGCAAATATTGTCAGGAGAACTGACCTGAATTTTGATTATGGTAAGTGCATTTGAATAACTGACAATGTACAGTTAAAATCAGAGTGTAAATACCAAAAGATGGAATAGATAAATAGCACCACCATATCAATAATTTTATACCAGACCCACAATAAAGCTAGGTTTGCTTTAAACCAGCATCTTTTTTTTTTGTTTGGTTTGGTTTTAAAGAGTAGGTGGTCCCTAAAAGACAGTATGTCTTTGATAAGTGTTTGAATATGTTTGATGCAGCCTTAATATTTGAACTAAGACCAAGCCAAGTGGTTTTGATTTTTTAATAAAAAATTGGCCTGATTTCCAAAATGCAGTTAAAGTTAAAAAGGAGAACTAAATCTTGCCAAATCTAATAACATAAGACCCAATGATGTTTATCTATCTATCTATCTATCTATCTAATCTATCTGTCTGTCTTTGTCCTGTCTTTTCTTTTCTTTCTTTTCCCTCTATACTACTTCATAAAAATAAGCTTGAAAAACAGAGTAAGATCTGAATGTAAACTACAGTTAAGTTCTTGAAGTAAATAACTTCTCTTACATCCAGATGAATTTTTATATAATCTAGAGTTATCTCAAACTCAACATACTTAAATAAAATGTATGTCCTTGGCTGGGCACAGTGGCTCATGCCTATAATCCCAGCATTTTGGGAGGCTGAGGTGGGAGGATCATGAAGTCAGGAGTTCAAGACCAGCCTGACCAACATGGTGAAACCCTGTCTCTACTAAAAATACAAAAATTAGCCGGGTGTGGTGACATGCACCTGTAATCCCAGCTACTCAGGAGGCTGAGGCAGGAGATTCACTTGAACCTGGGAGGTGGAGGTTTCAGTGAGCCAGGATTACACCATTGCACTCCATCCTGGGGGACAGAGAGAGACTCCATCTAAAAAAAAAATGTTATCTTTCAAAACTGTCATTTGTTGGTCACCTCTAATTTCATTAAGAACCCACTCTGTTCCCCATCTTGGATACCTCTGAATCACAGCTTTTGTCATAGATCTAGTTTATAATTATTACACATGTAGATCTAGTGTCATGTGAAATAATCTCTTTCATTTCCAGTACCAGCCTCACCCTCTGCCACCCTTGCTCCAACAGTTTATGCTTGGCTGTGGATAGTCCAGGTACTTTTATGGGTTGGGGGTCTCAAATAAAAAAATTCTGCAACAGATGTTTAAAGTATCTTTTTAAAATTATTCCCTAGAATCTCAGTTTAGATTAATTAAGGAATCAGCTTCTCCCTCCTTCCACCTGGGACATCTTCTGTTGTCTTTATTTCTTGAAGAGTACTTTGTGTCCTGGAATGGGGTGTTTTCAACTATAAAGTAGTTCAAGAAAACACAATGTCAGAATAATTTGTTTGAATCAATTACTATGAGAGATTCTAGCTTCAAAATCATGTCATGTATCTTTACAGGAAGTCTAAGGTTTAAGAAATATTAATGAAGACCAAGTTTTTCTAAAAATTACAGAGAGTCACCAAATAGATCTGGAATCAGGTTATTTTTTGATATGGTAGGAAAAAAACCCCTTCAATTCCTCCACCCCTTTCAAAAAAAAAAAAATCTAAATCTATGCTGGGAATGATCAGCTAGACGTCTACCAGAGATTTGTGTTCTACCCTCCACAGTGTGGAGTAGTTGCTAGGAAGCAGTTGTCCAGCTAGCTTCCCTGTTGTAGGTGTGACTATGTCATTGGTTATCACCAGTGGGTAAAAGAAAGAGCTACTTTATGTTTAAACTAAGGAGGATAATGAGTGGCATACCTTTTCAACTCTATCTTTGCTCATTCACCAGTTGACATCAAGGGACTGTGGGGCTACCAATAAATAGAAAACAAGCTGGAAAGAGCCTGTATCCCTGCATCATCACATAGAAGAAAGTCATCTTCCAACCAGGAACACACACATTGAACTCTTATGTGAACATGAAATGGACTTAAGAAAATTTATTGTTTGTGTTTAAGGTATACAACATGATGTTATGAGATATATATGGTAAAATGATTACTACAGTGAAACAAAGTAACATATTCATCATCTCACATAGTTATCCATTTTTCCCTCCTGTGGCAAGAGCAGCTATAATCTACTTAGTAAAAATTCTAAATACAATATGCTATTATTAACTATAGTACTTATGCTCTAGGTCTTTTTTTTCAAGAAAATATTAATTTTTAAAATTTTTATTTTATTTTATTTTTTGTTTGTTTATACTAGATCTTTAGACTTGTTCATCCTACATATCTGCTACTTTGTATTCTTTGACCTATATCTCCCCATTTTCTTTCCCTGTACAGATCCAGGTAAACATGGTTTTATTCTCTATTTCTGTATATTTGTTTTTTCCCTTAGATTCCACATATTAATGAGATCATGTAATATTTTTTCTTTCTGTGTCTGCCTTTTTTTATTTAGCATAATGTCTTCTAGGTTCATTTATTTTGTGGCAAATGGGAGGATCTCCCCTTTGGTAAAGGCTGAATAATATTTAATTAGATACACATCATAGTTTCTATATCTATTCATCTTTCTATAGACACATAGATTATTTTCATATTTTGATTATTGTGAGTAATGTTGCAATAAACACAGTAGTAGAGCTATCTTCCTGGAATAGACTTTTATTGTGTTAGGTCACAGAAATTTGGGGGTATATTTGTTACAGCTGCCAATATTTCCCTAACTAGTAAACCATCTGGTTCTTATGTATATATATATCTACATACACACACACACACACACACACACACACACACACAAACACACACACACATATACACTCTGTAACAATATTGCATGTTCCTCACCATCTGGCAATGTATGCCATACATTTTTGTATCCACTATAGCACTTAATATAGGGTAAGTATATTCTTTTCATTTCATAAGGATAAATCAGATAAGATTGTTGAAAGTTGTTTTGAGGGAAACCATTTCCGATTTTACTTATTTGTATATATTTTTTCTTGGTTAGTCTAGCTAATGGTTTGGCAATTTTGTTTTTTTTTTGGAAAAACAACTTTTTATTTCATTGTTTATTTTGTCTCAATTTTGTTTGTTTCTGTACTGATATTTATTATTATTTTTCTTCCATTAATTGTAAGTTTTTTGTTTGTTTGTTTGTTTTGTTTTACTAGTTCCTTGAGATGCATTGTTAGGTTGTTTATTTATAATCGGTTTAATAGAATTATTTAGAATAATGTATAATAGAATGATAATATAAATCGTTCTGTTACAACGATATGTGCAAATGTATGTTCACTGCAGCACTATTCACAATAGCAAAGATGCGGAAACAACCCAAATGCCCATCAATGATAGACTGGATAAAGAAAAATGTGGTACATATACACCATGAAATACTATGCATCCATAAAAAAGAATGAGATCATGTTCTTTGCAGGGGGATGGATGGAGCTGGAAGCCATTATCCTCTGCAAACTGATGCAGGAACAGAAAACCAAACACCACATGTTCTCACTTATAAGTGGGGCTGAACAATGAGAAAACATGGACACAGGGAGGGGAACAACACACACTGGGGCCTGTTAGGGGTGTGGGGAGGAGAGCATCAGGATAAATAGCTAATGCATGTGGGGCTTAATACCTAGGTGATAGGTTGATAGGTGCAGCAAACCACGATGGCACACGTTTACCTGTGTAACAGACTTGCATGTCCTGCACATGTATCCTGGAACTTAAAATAAAATATAATAAAATAAAATCTTTCTACCTTTGGTAGTTGGCGTTTATTGTTATCCACTTGCTTCTTAAAACTGCTTTTGCTGTATTCCATAGGTTTTTGTATGTTGTGTTTCTAGTTTCATTTGTTTCAAAAAATTTTTAATTTCTTTCTTAATTTTTTTCATTGACTCATTTATCCATATTGTTTTGAGAATGGCTATCCTAATTAACATTCCCACCAATAGTGTATAACAGTGTACCCTTTTGGTCATTCAGTAGTATATTGTTTAATTTCCATATATTTGTAGAATTTCAAAAGTTCCTATTGTTATTGTTATCTAATATTATTCCATTGTGGATAGAAAAGATACTTAGTATGATTTCAATTCTTTTAGATCTGTGGAGACTTGTTTTGTGACCTAGCCTGTGGTCTTTCCTGGAGAATGTTTCATGTGCTGGTAAAAAGAGTAGGTGTTCTGCAGCTGTTAGATGAAATGCACTTTGGGAGGCCGAGGCGGGTCACAAGGTCAAAAGATCGAGACCATCCTCCTGGTCAACATGGTGAAATCCCATCTCTACTAAAAATACAAGAAAAAAAAATTAGCTGGGCACGATGGCATGTGCCTGTAATCCCAGCTACTCAAGAGGCTGAGGCAGGAGAATTGCCTGAACCCAGGAGGCGGAGGTTGCGGTGAGCTGAGATTGTGCCATTGCACTCCAGCCTGGGTAACAAGAGTGAAACTCCATCTCAAAAAAAAAAAAAAAAAAATGTTTGATAGGCCCATTTAGTTTAAAGTACAGTTTAAATTCGATGTTTATCTGTTGATTTTCTGCCTAGATGATCTGTTCAATGCTGAGAGTAGGAATATTGACATCTCCAACTGTTATTGTGTTAGAGTTGATCTCTCTCTTTAGTTCTAATAATATTTGCCTTATACATCTGGGTGCTCCAGTGTTGGTTGTGTTTATATTTATAATTGTTATATCCTTTGATCAATTGATAATTTTATCATTATATAATAATCTTCTTGGACTCTTTTTGCTATTTTTGACATAAAGTGTATTCTATCTGACATAAGCATAGCTTGCTTTGGGTTTTCATTTGTATAGAATATTTTTTTCCATTTCTTCACTCAGTCTTTGTGTGTCTTTTCAGGTGGAATGTTTTTCTAGTCAGAATATAGTTAAGTGTTTTTTTTTTTTTTTAAATCTATTCATTCAGTCTATATCTTTTAAGTGGTGAAATTTAATTCATTTTATTAAAGGTTATTATTGGCAAGTAGGGACCTACTCCTGCCATTTTGTTGGTTAGTAGCTTTCTGTTCTTTTTTCTTTTTTTGTATATCTTTTGTCTTTTTTCCTTGTATTGTGTATCATTGCAGTTTGGTGGTTTTTTTGTAGTGATAAGATTTGATTCTTTCCTCTTTCTTCTTTGTGTCTGCTATACTAATAAATTTTATACTTTTGTGTGTTTTCATAATGATTATATCTCTTTGTGGACTGCCTTGAACATTTTTTATAAATTGGTCTAGTGGTGATGAGAGATGAATTCTCTCAGTTTTTGCTTGTCTGGGAAAGATGTTATTTTTTCCCTCATTTCTAAAAGATAGTGTTACTAGGTATAGTATTCTTGGCTGAAAATTTTTTTCTTTCAATGCTTTGAATATATCACTTCATTTTTTCTTGGCCTGTAAGGTTTCTATGGGGAAATCTTATAGGTGGAGATTCCCTTATTATAGGTGACTTGATGCTTTTAACTTACTACTTGTAGAATTCTCTTTTCTTCTTTGACTTTTGGCAATTTGACTGTAATATGCCTTGGGAGGAGCTTTTTGGGTTAAATCTGTTTGGAAACTTTTGAACTTCCTGGATCTAGATGCCTGTATCTTTTTCCAGTCTTGGGAAGGTTTCAGATATTTCATTAAGTCAATTTTCTGTACCTTTTCCCTTCTTTTCTCCACCTTTTTCCTTCTTTTCTCCTTCTGGTAATCTCATAATGCAGAATTTTGTTTGCATAATGGTGTCCCATGTGTCTTATATGCATTCCTCACTCTTTAGGTTTTATTTCGTGGATTGGGTAATTTTTAATGACTTATGTTCAGGTTCAGAGGTTGTTTATTTTGTTCGATTTTGTCTGCTGTTGAAGCTCTCTATTGTTATATTGTATTTTAAAATTTTATTCCTATTGAATTCTTTACCTGCAGGATTTCTGTTTCATTCTTTTCTATGATTTCTTTGTTGAATTTCTAATTCACATCATGAATAAATTTCCTGATTTTATTGAATTGTCTATCTGTATTTTCTTGTATCTCATTTTTTATTAAGATTATTATTTTGAATTCTTTCTCTGGAAATTTATTAATTTCCTCTTTTTGGGGGGTTTGTTCTTTTTTATTGGAGTCGGTTATGGAATATGTTCCTTTAGTGGTGTCATTTTTTTTCTTTTTCATGTTTCTTTTGTTCCTGCATTGCTGTTTGTATCTGATACCTCTTTCAAAATTTCTATAGTGGCTTTCATAGAGAAAGACAATCACCTGCCGTTAGGTTTTAATGTGCTGGTTAGGAAGGGTGTAGTGACTCTGTTTCCAGATAAGTGCAGTCTTCATGCAGCTTCTTCAGCTGTTTCAACATCAACAATAATTGTGGGCACCCCAGTCACCTATGCTGTAGAAGTTTGTGGCAGTAGCATAGGTTGTTAATGTCCTCAGTGTTAAGGGCTTTTGAAATCCTCTTATTTTCATATTCCTCACACTGAAGAGCCTTAAGCAGGGGGATCCCTCTGGGGTTTTAGGTCTGACATGACCAAGCAGCTGCATGGTACAGGTTTCCAGGTGCAGGAGCTCAGAGTTGCTGTGGGGTTGAGGTCCTAGTTTGAGGATCTTGTAAACCTCTTGTGGCACCTGGGTCTAAAGGTACAGAATTGCTTTCTTTAGCATAGTTGAATATATAATTGGGGTACAGAATTGCTTTCTGTAGCAGAGTTGCCTACAGAACCAGGATCTGTGACTCTGAGGCACTTGCTAGTAGCTTGGGCTCATGGGGGCTGATTGTAGCTATGATTCTACCCCTGGGGGCCCAGGGCATAGCACTAGCCTAATTTTGGGAAAGAAGGAGTGTTATGGAGGTTTGAGCCTGGGGAACAGGGTACAGCTGCAATTTGGGAACCTTAGCCAATAGGGCTCAGTGACAACTCATGTCCCAGCAGATGAGTCACTTTGTAGTAGTGATTATAGACTCTGGGATGATGGGACTCAGCAGTATTCCAGACTCAGGACAAGTGCAGTGCCAGCAAGTACTCCAGAGTGGCAGATAGCTGTTGAGAGGGTGCTTCAGGGGTTGGAAGGGAAGAACAGCACACTGATGACTCCACTGTCCAAGGAGAGGGGTGTCT